CATGACACGGTAGATAAATAATCTAAATGTTTGCATTAGCGGAATATAACTGCACTTTGGTTTGTCAAAGGCCAAGAAAGCAAAACAAAACTTGTTTCCCAGCTCTGACTCAAACTTTTGAATGTTGACTTAACTCCCTGCTGTAAAGCCTGGGGTTATTCTGGTATCTTCAGCTGAGATATTGTGATTTCTCCTGAAAGGCCTGTGACTTCTACTCACTCCTAATATCCCAAAAACAAAAGAAGTTGGAAAAAAGTACGGCAAAAGTTTCTCTTCCCGCTTCCACTTGCAGGCCAGTGCCTCTCTTTAAGTGTGGGAAGATCTGGTAATAATCATCAGCTGTCAAAGTTGTCTGTCCCTTTTTGTGATTACAGACCAGGGTGGGAGGGTGAGGTGGGGGAGTCTCACGAGGATCACAGGAGGGACAACATAGTTTTGTTTACCAGCAATGTCTCTCCCTCCCACTTTCTCTGTCTCTCTCCCTCTGAGTGCACACCACTGGAGGCATCTCAGCAGGGGGGCATCCTCCTTTTCCAGGCTGAATGCGCTTGCTATAGTAAACATCCTCTCTCCTGCCTCACTCTGGGATGAGCAGACAGACACAAATCACTGTGTCGATGCGATGGGGCGAGGCAAGAAAAGGAGAGAGAAGGACATGGATTTTTTTTCTTTTATTGCAGCCAACTATGATGAGAGGTATTAGAGCAAAAAAGGGGAACAATTGACTACTTGTTTTTAAACACAGGGCTGCACATTCAGACATTACGTTCAAGAGCTAATATTCAGCATTTCCTTCCAGCAGGTGGCCATTACAAGGACTGATACCAGACAGATTTTAACCCATGTTGCTACGAAGGGTCTGAATGAGACGCTGAGACTGAATCACACATTCTATGGCAATTTGATCACCTGTAAAATAAGAGACAACATACTGCCATACTATGGCTCAGAGTTAAAGACTAAGGGGCCGTTCAGATGTAGCGTCTTTTGCGTGCATAAATCCATTAGTTTCAATGTAGACGCGCGCCAAGCGTGTTCACAATCCAAAGCGACGCCGTAGCGGCGCGCATTCGGTGCGACGCGCCTGTTTTTTCGTGCGCGTCCGCGGCGCACAGAGATGGAAAAATCTCAACTTTTTCGAATGCAGCAAGCGCACTGCATGTCATGTGATAAGAATTAACCAATCAGCTCCACGGACGTGCTTCTTCCTTTCCGTCCAACGGACTTCACAACATCCGGTGGTGTGAAAGACAGCAAGCAATGGAGGAGCGACTGATCATTCTTGTCCAGTGATACCCAGAGTTATATGACCTGTCTTCTTCGTACTTCTTTGATTCCAATAGAAGGAACAATGCCTGGAGAATTATCAGCTCGGAGCTTGGGATAACTGGTGAGCATGATGATACGCTATTTTTATGGCTAACGGTTGTGCCCTGTGAGTGACAGGCGGTTTTGGTTGCTTAGTAACGGCAGGCACGACAGTAGCGCAACCTCCGAAGCGCGTTGGATAAAAGGATGGAAACGGCACAGCTGGCGTTTTCCACGCGCTTTTAGACGCTACATCTGAATGGGGCCTAATCTTGTTAACATGTCCATATGGTGTTTATTATGCTACAAGTGAGCAAAGTAAGCAGTCAAGCCATGGCTGAGAATTTTTGTCTTGTAACTCCATTGTACCAATGACGGTCTCACAAGCACGGATTCTGAATTCCATGGTTTGTTACGCCACAAACCAAATAAACTAATCCCATAACACTATGGCAAAGTGAGGGGCATCAGAGGAGAAGTCAGGCTACGTGACTCAGTATAGCAGTGGATGGAGCGGCTACGTCACTCACCCACTTCACCCGCCATTCCTACATGTTATCCCATGATCAGCCCCTTTCGTCCCTTGGTCCAGAGTGATCAACCCTTTTCACCCTTTGGTCCAGAATGATCAGCCCCTTCGCCCCTTGGTCCAGAGTTATCAGGCCCTTTCATCCCCTTGTTCCAGAATGATCAACCCTTTTCACTCCTTGGTCCAGAGTGATCAGCCCCCTTTGCCCCTTGGTCCAGAGTGATCAGCCCCTTTCGTCCCTTGGTCCAGAATGATCAGCCACTTTCGCCCCTGGGTCCAGAATGATCAGCCCCCTTCACCCCTTGGTCAAGAGTGATCAGGCACATAGGAACGTGTCGTGTAGGCTTCAAACTGAATGTGGCTGCAGATATACATGTCTCAGGCAATGTATCATTTCTTTGCAAGCTAAGATTTACTTTCACTTCAACTTGTCAAAAATGGGAACAAGGTTTATCTGGTATTAGCAACACATTATTAACTGTCTGATAACATAGTCAAGCCAAAGGCTGATGTTGTTTATTACCATTACATTTCTAACCCTGTGGACATAAAGAGGATGGGGGCGGGGTTAATTTGCATATTCATACATCCTTGCATACTAAATGAGTTGCAGGTGTAGAGTTCCGTCTAATCCATGTAAAGGCACCAAGGACTCTATTTCATGGAGGAAAAAACTTCTACATGTGCAATTAAGATAAAAAAAAGATGCGTTTTTAGGGGTTTATACTATGCCCAGAGATGAACTTTAGTACATGATATCAGTAAGATAGCTGACCGAGAGCCACAGCATGTGCAAAACTACTGTCATGATCAAGAAGAATCAATGTTGTCATGTAGTGCACACTATAACCAGGAGCAGATTCAAAGGGGGTCATTTTATTGAATGTAAATCCTAATTTCTACATTCAAGGCCTTTAATCCATATCTAAATACCCTTGGAAGCCCTTGTGTTACTTCATGTTTTTCTCATCACAAACTTTTTATTATTTCAAAAGCCAACAGAGGCTCAATTTAGTGAAGCTGCCTGTGGCATTAATGATCCACAACACCATGCCTCTTTGAATTTTTCAGATCAAAACAGCATCTTCTTCTGTGTTAATCACTACCTTTCCCTTGCAGCTCTGGAACACACTGCACTCTCTCTCTCTTATACACATTATTAATTTATTACCATCTCGTGGTTGTGGGTGAGGAACAAAGCTGCATGCAAAGTCATGTATATCTACCTTTTCCATTATAAATGATATCCCACTCATACCGTCTCCCCATGTCTGTGCAATTGTGTGTTTTTGTGCACATGTTGCATACCCCACTCCCCTACAGCTTCCCCCAGGCTGTCTGTGGATGCAACAGAGCAGTTACCACTCAGAAGGCCTACTGGTTGACTGTCAAGCCCAGAGGGAACCCTGCAGCCCTGACTCACAACTATGACTGACTGCAACAGCAAGAAGTCTTCAGCGTGTATGTGGGTAAACACCTGTTGATTTAATATCCCTTTTAATATCCTTATGTTTTGTCTAGAGTGTTGCAATTCTGATCACACGCGTTAACCAGTTTGTGTAAATGAGACAGGAATGCTCAACGCCCCGGCACTCCACATGCCAGTCCAGGAATGCAGACAAACCACCTGAAGTGCTGCGTTGTAGAGCAGGTGAGTCAAGTGGAGACACTGCAGCCTGCGTGTAATCAGTAACCACGTTGTACACACACACAAAACTACTACTAGTTCAGCAAACAATAATAAAATGTCGAAACCGGGAGGCAAAGAGGTGAGGTATTTTTATTATTACTACTCTACGTGGCTCCAACACTGATACGTTACCTGTGCGTCTTTACTCATTTAAATAGGACACAGGTGGATTGTTGCCCTTTGAACCACATTCAGTCAGGCGCTCACCTGATGTGTTAATTCAAATATTTGTTTAGCCAATATGGATATGTGATAGTTAGTTATAGTGCTTACAAATCCAACAAAATCCTCTTGACACATGTCTGCTGTGCTATTAGGCGTGCTGCTGAGTAGTGGCAGGGCACAGGACGCACAGTGGCTATTATGACTGTTTTGAGGCAAATACACCTGCTAGTAAGTGGGGAGATTCCAAGGGAAGAATGTGTATACATGATCCAACTTGAATATAATAACATCTCCTTATCCACTGCTGGAACATCTCAGAGGGGGGCCCAGGGGCACAAATTTCCTGTTGAACCCCCACTGACCCCCACTTTCCCCCTCTCTCTGTACAATGTGTATGTACCCTGCCTTCTCCCAAGTACCCATCGAGTGCAGCACACACAGCCGACAACTCAAAGGCAGCTTAATTATATTTGGCCTAGAGAGACCCAGAAACCTACCAGCACTCCACGGTGGAATACTACCTGGCCCCAGGTTCGCTGCGTGTCAATTACTTTGTGGTAATTTGATTTAAAATGCCTTAAGGCCCTATGATATTGGTTTTATTGTGCTGTTGTAGAACACATTCACAGACAAACAGTCAGGTAATGAAATAATCACAAAGCAATTGGCACAGGGTTTGACTTGAGGGTTTCAGGGCCCCTGGGGGTCTGGGGCCCAGGCAGAAATACAGTCTTATGAAACTTGCATTTCACAGTCGAGGCATAACTTTTCAAGTAATATTTGCCAAAACATAGTGATCTTTCCAAGAATTTATTGGAAATTTGTTACAAAGACAACAAACAACTATCCATAAGAGTTTTTTGTTTGTTTGTTTTTTGGGGGGCTCAGGGGACACCTCGCCCTACATATTTAGAACATGTGCATTTGTTCCTCCCATAAAAACATTACAGTAGCAAAGGACTTTATTTTCATGAAATTAAGGACACTGCCACCATAAATTGATGCAGAAATGGATTCATCAGAATGAATGAAATTTAGTGTCTGAGGCTCAAAATTTCCTGGAGAACCCCCAAACCTCCAGTTGCATGTGTCCTACACACTGCTGAAACAAAACCTGCGCCTTTGCATCTACATCTCTATGAAGTCTTTCTCATATTTTTCTCAATGGCATGTCAGACAATGAGTGACCAAAACAACATCCTGCTCTCCATTGAGATGGGTATGAAGACAAACAAACAGCAAAACAAAGCAGTGACATCAGCAACAACCTAATTGATAACCACCCAGCACCCTCCTCCCTGTCCTCACCTTGAACTCCACAGACAGCTGCGGCGTGTACTCCAGGGTCCACAGACCTCGAACCAGCGACGCCAGCTGCTCGGTCACCTCTCCCCTGGCGCCCTCCGGCTCCTCGCCTCTCACCTCGCCGTTCACCCTCCTGTGGTACAAATCCGATTTGTACTGCTCCAGCCCGAGGTACTCGGCCAGCAGGTCCGTGTTGCTGAGGCACTGAACCACGGCGTTCATGAAACAGGTGTTGCCGTGGTTCTTCAGTCCCAGCACCCCGGGGGTCTTGTCGCCGTGGCACCACGACAGCCTGTCTTTCACCGAGCCGTGAGAGGAGGACACCGTGGAGCTCTTCTTCACGGTTCCCTCCCTGGGGGTCTGCGCACAGTCGTCTTTGAAACCCCCCGATGCGCTCTGCCCGAACCCGCCGTCGTCGTCCTCCGCGTCCGGCGGCTCCGCGTCGCCAAAGTGCGCCAAAGTGCCCAAAGTTTTAAGGATCCTTCCCATGAAATTCCCAAAAGACCGCAGCGATTTCCTCCTGATAAACCTCCCGGTTTTGTATTTCTTCTCCTTTCGCTTCGTCGTTTTGGGTTTCATGGCTTTTCTTTCCTTGTTTTCCTTGCGGGTATCCATGGCTCTACTACTTAATAGGACCGAGAGAAAATGAAACAGGCTGTGGAGTCGCACCTGTCTGCCAGGCTGTCTACCCCTCCTCCTCCTCTTTCCCTCTCTCCACAAACCTTACCGCTGTGGTGGCACCGACTCCGTGCCAATAAGGCACATGATTACTGATGGTATTCCTTTGGACATCCCGATAATTCCCAGTGCGATATGCTCACCAGTCCGCGCGTTTTGATGGGTGACGCTCTCTCCAGGAACTACAGAGAGGAGACGCGTTCCTCCCTCCTCACAGCAGGTTCAATTACACTTCCTCATCGATGGCTCTCATCGCTGAGTCGTGCGCTGGCGGTCTCGGACTCTCTGTCACCATCGCTATCAATCCCTCCCTCCCTCCTCTCCTGTCAATGGGGCTGCAATGAACAAGTTTTCTATGTGAAGGATCCTGTCTACTTCCCGCCCCTCAGACAGGAATTTAATTAACCTGGATTACATTACTTATAGTTTAACACAACAGAGAGCTTGACACAATGAGCAGGAGAACAGTCTCACAGACTGTTGCTGGAATGGCAAAGAGCTCAAACTTGACATGTTTGTTCCACAGGGAACAAGGAAGTTGTTGTATTTAATAGGTTTCAAGCGCTGTAGCCTTAAACTGCCCCCTGTAGGACCAATTACAACATCACCTGACTTGACATCTTTAGAGGGTGTCAGAGACATCACTGGCATTTGCTGGATGACCCTACCACTGTATGGGGGTTGTATGTGCATGAGCAACTGCAGCCTGATTTTATTTCCAACCCCCACCCTAAAATGAAGACAAATCAGATTCTGAAAGCCTTTTAGTGGTGTATTATCATCACTTGATAGTAACCGTATGGACTCAATAAGCTGTAGTTGGTAACTTTTATGAAAATATTCTTCTGTAAAATAGTTACAGTAGTAGTTTAGTTGCTGAAACTGTCACAAACTCCACACAGTAGTACATAAGACAGATAATCGGTGAAAAAATATCATGTTCCTCCTCCTCCTTGTGGATTCTGAAGGAAACAACCAAGGAGAGCCAAGTCAATCATTTCAGTCACTGCTCCTGAACTGCCTTTAAACTGTCAAACTAGGCAGCATTGATCAAATGTGAATCAATGTTCTTTACTACATCACCTATTTCTCACCTCAAATGTTGCCAAAACATTTTTAGTGTACTGTTTAGCTGTAAAATGACAAAGGTGGCTGGTGAGCGGTTCTCCACTTTGGCGTGACTCTTTTTAAAGGTCTAATGTGTAGGATGTGGTGACTGTGTGCCATGTGTGTGCCAAGTGTGCAGAAGAACTACTGTGGCCGACACAAAATGACAATCACCCTATCTGGAGCCAGTGTCTGGGTTTGTCCGTTCTGGGCCACTGTAGAAATAGCATGGCACAATCCGTGGAAGAGGACCTGCTCTGTATGTAGATATTAATGACTCATTCAAAAAATACACCCCTATTATTTTCAGTGTAAAACCCCACACCGGCGGCGGCTAGACATGCATCAGCGCTCCTGGACACACCACCCCGCAGCAATTTACGCCACTGTCCTATTTCCAGCCTCGCCACTCCCGGAATTAAAAGCTCAGCTCAACTCCTCTCCTCACCATGGATGCATAAAGAGAACTCTGTTGATGTTGCTGTCTCATGTGTTATAAAGACAAGAGACTTCTTGTTGAGGTCAAGAAATATCCCAAGCTAAATACCCATAATCCTGTCATTATACAGGCAATTGCAGAAAGGTGAAAATGTGAAAAATGAAGTTTAATTAGGGGCTCTCCATGCATGATTTTAAGCTAATACAGAGGTGGAGGAGCTACAGTAAAAGTAGTAATAACTTTGTGTGGTCGTCTGTTAACAAGCTGCAGGGCAACGCATCTGATGTGTGCTAGGCAGGGCACATGATGTGTGTCCCGTGACACGCTGCACCGTGGTGAAGTCCATGTGTTTTCAGCTTAAAGTGACGAAAAAGAATTATTCTTATTTTCAAGTGATTATGAACTAATGAAAACATAGTTATGAATATTATATACCATTTCTGCCAATAGTTGCCCCTAGACCCTACACACTGGACCTTTAACATGGCAGCAGGGTCACAACAACCCTTCTCATTTTACAGCTCAACAGTACACTAAAATGTATTTCTGAAAACATCGGAGTCGAAAAATAGTCAATGCAGTAACAGAATCTTGACAACTGTATCTGACAGTTTAAACGCAGTTCACCTGCAGTGATTGTTACCTTATGTGTTAAAGGCTCCTTGGCTCTAATTGGTTGTTGTGGTTCACCTGCAAATGCATTCTTGCAAATGCCATCTAAAGCATTAAGAGAGTCAGAGCAGCATGATTTTTTTTCCACTATTTGTCTCATGTAATATTGCGTGGATATAGTGACAGCTTCAGCAAATGTGACAAAAAGTTATTTCTATAAAAGTAACCAACTACAGCTTTAAATACAGTGACAATGACAGTAAAACTGCTCAGTGACCATATGTATTATGTTTCTAATTCTGCTAAAAAGACTGTCCACAAATGTGTGCTCCTTTTGCTTCACCCTGCTATTGAAATACAATCCTATCTACAGTGTAACACACCAGCATTTACAGACACATGTACAATATCCTTTAAATAGCTTTGCTACTGCCTTCACACACACATTCACACACACATTAATGCTGCTGCTACTACACCCTGGAAGATCCACAGAGTGAGTAAAATGGATGTTACAGAACCATTCGGCCAGACACATTATGTGCAGTTCTGGTTTTCAACAGGGATGTAGCATCTTTTGTGCTATATCCAGATTCTAATCATCTGAAGCTTAATTTCACAGCTCACCAGTAGTAAAGATTGGATTTAGTGGGCCAGATGTGCTGATTTATTGAAATAGATAGCCAGAGCCCCATCCAACATTTCCATAATTCTCCCCGACGCTTTTATTTCAGCATGGTTAGAAAATATGCACACATAATACACCATTGAAACAAATAAACTTATTCTGTGTCAAACTTTGACTTCCTTACCAAAATGAAAAAAACCATAGGTGCAGATTTTTTGGGGGGGAGGGGGAAATGCAGGGTACACCTCCTCTTATTCATGTAGAACACGTGCAATTGTTCCTTCCAATAGAAACATGGCAGTAACAGAGTTTTATTTCAACAAACTAGAATGTGCCTCATAAATGCAAAAATGTGTCTGGTTAAGTAGGCGGTGGCATTATGCAACCTTAAAAGCCATGGTTGCAATTTCCCATGAAATGGAAAGAAGATGAAGCAACTATGGTGAAGCAGGAAGTACCATGACATTCTTACCCTAAATTGAGGCAGATAAGGCAAATTGGTGCATAAAAATTCACCAGAATGCTGGAGATGAACTGCCTGGGTCCAGACCTTTGAATCCACCCACTCCACCAACTTCAAGTTGACTGATTTGTCTGGCATTGTGACATGAAATGACCAATGAGCACCACAGGAGGATTCGATTAGCCAGTCAGAACCATAGGTGTGACAAACACTGTTGACAAGATGTTGTCAAGCAGTGCACTGGAACCAATGAGAAGTAATAACAACAATGGCAAGCACTATATACGCTGCTATCAAGGCTGTTTTGAAATCGACCCTGGCAAAACAGGTATGATGGCTTGACTCCGCATCACTGTGGACTAAAAATGATGTTAGATTTAGGCAGACACGTTGCTCTCAAGTAATTTGTTTGGGAAAACTGAATCCCCCTCCCCCGCAGAAACCAACGTCATACTAAATGTGCCTCATATCAGGCAAGGAAATGAAGTGTTTAAGAAAAAAGCTAAGCCCTGGCCTACAACCGTCCTCTATAAGCAGGGAGGGTAAGTGCAAAGATAGAGATGCCCTTTCTATATTACTGATCCAAGGATGTTTTTGCTGACTTGGTTTTACACTGTAGGTTTGCCATTTTACTTTTTGGGGGAAGCAGGGGTGAGTTATTAATTATTTAGATTAGCCATTTTGAACAATAGTGAGGAGAGTGGGTTCAGATCAGAGACAGTCAGAGAGGCTTTCTGCTGTACACTGCCTTGCTCTTTAACCAGCATCCTTCAGGGAATCTCTGTTGATAGATTAGCTGACAGCAGCCGTGTGCTTAAGCGGCCACGAATCTGGGGCCTCCTCCTCGTCTCTACAGCAGCGCACAGGAAAATCATATCTGAGCACATTTAATGTACTGTATAATATAGCCTTGTTTTAACATATTTGGGTTACATCTGCATTGAGACAGTCTGTAGAACAGCATTAATTCTGTTTCTCTCAAGAAGTCTAAAGAAGCATAATGCAGACACTTTGATGTGAAGAATAAGTTTGTGTGCCTTGAAGTGTAATTTTAAATTCAAGTGTCGCTCTGTGAATTCCCACCTATATTCAGCTCCTGTGGGGAATTACCACTTAAGAGACTACAGTGCTCAGGAAGTGTAATCTTTTCACTTCTTTATATCCTGTCTCTACTGGAAAAGGAAACAGTCTAACAAAGTCATTGATGCTAAATCAAATTACATTTATTTCCTTTGGTCAGAGTGTAAATCCAATCTGCAATGTTAATGTGAGATTGTTGGGAAGATTTGCTAAGAAAGAAAATGTTGGATACATTTGAGTGTGTGTGTTACTGGATTAAAAGTTTCTTTTGCCTCCAGTGTCAAGGACTCTAAATGTCACATTAAGAGGAGGAAGGGTGAGGGAACCTCCATCGAAGAATGGCTCCGTCTGCGCTGGTGCTGACTAAGGTGCGGTTGTTGGAGCAGATCTTGATGCTGGTGATGCTGCCACCGTGAGCTATTCCTATGTGGGTGACTGTACCTTCCATGTAGTCCCACACCTTCACCAGCTTGTCATCTCCACCTGTCATGACAGGGTGAAAAATATGTCAATAACCTGAGAGAAGTCTGAGCAGAGCACGCATTGTAGTGTCAGTAAAGATCAAAACGAAGGCTCAGAGGAGACGAGAACACACTCAGCTATATCTGAGAGTTAACAAATACATACTGGTAAAAACACGATTGGTATAATAAATACCAATCTAAGCAGTTTTTATCATAAAAGCATCAACTTAAACTACATTTACAAAAACAGACAAGCATGGTTTTATCTAAACATTATCAGCAATGAAACCAGGGCAAGTGTAAAATTACCATCTGTATATTGAGTGCTCACATACCCAAGATATTCTGTCGATATGGACTCATTTATTTTCAGCTGAATTATATTGAAAGCACAGCGACAATATAACAAGCAGCAGACGTGTAATGGGCCATACCTGTCACAAAGTGTTTGCCATCCTGTGAGATGTGCATGCCGTTGATGGCCCCAGACTGCGAGCCCTCCACTTCTCTGATGGCAGATCCGTCATACACGTCCCAGTAGGCAACCTGAGAAGGAAGTGAACACGTTTTATTTTTGTTCATCATTGGCATTTTTTATTGAAGACTCACACTGTGTCTCAAATCACACACTTTCATACTTATACTTGCTATTTTGAGTGCATAAGTGTGTTTACACAGAAGTATGGCAAAATGCAGTGCACTATGGGTATCTGGATGATATACTCATAATGGTTAAAAAAAAAAAAAAAAAAAAAAAAGAGTGTGGACCACAAACACAATTCAAACTTTCAAAATGTCGTCCAACTACTGCAGTGAACACAGAAGCTTTGTACAAATATACATGTGTATTTTTCACTACCACTATATTATTGTCAGATACAAGGCATCCGTTTGTTTATTGGGTTAATCTGTAATAATTTGGTACTGCAAATAATAACAAACATGCTAATGTTAGCCTGCGAGCTAACAGCGGGACATTCATCATCAAGCTATGCAATCCATGTGCATAAGTTACATTTGGTGTTTATTTGTGTCAAATCGTTGTCTCCACTGTAGAGGATATTAGTATTAGGTTTGTGGTCAGATGCTTGACAAGTTGTAAATATTTAGAAAGTACGGCAGCTATCATTAACTGCATTGATCAGCTGTTGATAGAGCCAGCAAGCATCAGCCAGGGACATTCTCAGATATCAAACTGTGCCGTGAAAGTGTGTTAATTTTCAAAAGAATAATAAATAAATATAGACAAAAATATAGCAGGCACATATCAGTCACTCGTCAAATACTAGCAATAATGCTTCGCCTGACTGCAATCTGCCAAGCAGACACAAAAAAGCTGTCAAATCTTGCAATTGTCATTTCCAGTAAGTGCAAAACAGCTGTGTTTGATTTGAAACAACACTACCCTTTCAAAATCTGCGCACTACACAAGTAGTGTACACCGTGTACTACCAAGTGGCGATCTCCAGGGCTGCAAAATGAGTGCCAAAACCTGTAGTTCCTTGAATGGCCACTTGAGGCTGGCTCCAGAAGTGAAACCCCATTGACACCCATGTTAAAATGCCCCACTTTACAGCAGAAATAAACATGTTTACAGCCTGGTACTAAAAATGGTTTTGGTCTCTATAGATAATGTCAACATTCATGACAACTGTACAGGAGGTGAATTTTTATATAACTCACATGTTTATATTTTATTAAGGCTTAAAGTTATCCATATTAAAAGGCGGGCAGCTTGAGAGACAAGCTGTCTGCAAGCTATCGGCACAGTCAGTGGTGTAGTGGAAGTTGATGGGGTGGGTGTACTTCTAGGTAGACAGATAGGTCATAGGATATATATTCCAATGGCTTTTTAGCCAGTGGGTGGGTATACTGTAAACAGCCAGATAAAAAGGTGGGTATACCCTGTCTACGTATATTTCCTCCACGACACCACTGGTCATCATTAATGAGTCAGATCCACCCTTTGCTTTTCCACAGCTCCACCCTCTTCTCCAAGTATGGCCACTTTTGGCTCCAAAAAAACAAGATGGTAACAGCCAACATGCCAGACTCAAGCTTCAAAACGGCAGTCCACAAACCAATGGGTGATTTCATGGTAACTATGTCCATTTTTTTGTAAGCAAGTGTATAAACAGTAGTATTTGATCGGAGTCACAGCGTCAGTGTTCAAGAGAGGAGCAAAGAACCCTTGCACTGTGTATGATAATATTGTGGAGTCTCTTTTCTTTGCTGACAACAAGGGAAAAAATCCTAAAGCAGGCCTCACTGACGACACATTACCTTCTGATCTCTTTGCTGCAGTTTGAATTATAGTGTTAATTGCTATTGATGATTGATTCAGGACAGACTATTGGCTCACTATACAGATGATGCAGGTGAAAGCATCTGTTTACAGTTGTGCAGTTCCTCCATTACATCACCATATACTGTACTGTACTGTATTACTTCTTATTATGGTAAATATGCAATATGTGACCTAAATCCACCTTGGACTACCTTTACTGCTCTATTATTCGTGCTCTGTATGGAAATGAGTAGGTCTATGGTTAGATTCAACCTCACACACACACACACCAATGGAAACCATGTTTGCTGATCCAAATGAGATTTAATCATCCCTAGAGCTTTATAGCTGTCAAAGTATCAAGTCTCAGAAAAGGCAATTGTTAGCCCAAGTTATTTATAGCGCAGGCAGCAGAAACATCACAGTGCCACACGACAACAAGGGTCCTTTCTTGTTATTTATATGACCAAGCTCATTACATTTTAAAAGTTAAGCGCTGTATGAAGGGCTGGATGGATTTGATCATTGAAATCAGTCTTCTGAGTCATTCTGTATGAAAGAGTTTCTAATAGAAGATTTAGTGGCTGACCTCAGCACTGATCTCAGTCCCTGTGTGTATTTAAAAATGTGTGTAAAACACAGGCTAAACAGATTGCACTTCAACGTCAATCAAGTATTAAACGCACTAGATAGATTCCAAATTTAAAGATTGAATTACTGCAGGAATGCTGCTAATAAACAATACAAGGAAGTGTACCATCTGACTAATGAAATCATACGCAACATTACATGGATCGGCTGTTTGTAAAAAGGTTCATGTTACACAGAGCTGCACTGAGTCAGCCCAACATTTATAAGAATAGTCTTTGAGATAGGATTTCATTTCTCTGCGCAAGACCATGCCTGTAATGCATTATAGGAGAGGGAATGTAATCTCAAACAGACATATCAAAAACTGTTTGTTATTATGGAACAAAAGAGGAACAAAAGGCTCGAGAACAAAACAAAAAAAATCTTATTTATAGTTTCAGAACTGCAGAGTGATTCTCAAAGCAATAGCTGCCCTTACAAGCCACGGGAACATTTCTGTGGGGGCCGTTTGAATCTACAGGATTTCTCTGCTGCACATTGGTTTACTCAGATGGAATTGCTGATATTAATATTCCTAGAAAATAACTTCACAAAACATTATTTAGGAAAACATAAACAACCGGAGGGGAAAATGGTTCATTATAATTTGATAAACACCAAATACAAAGTTCTGAAATCATTCCTTATTTCACTCAGTATCACATCAGAACGTAAGGCTCACAGCTGGGCAGAATATGTAATTCATTCAGCTAATGTAACATCACAGCCCCATCTTTTCAATAAACAGCAAACAAAGCAGTACCTCTAAAAATACCACTAATGGGTGATCAAAATAATGTTTATGTACAATACTCTGTATATCCCAGTATGTAACACTCCTCCCTCTTCTCCTCCATGTCATTTTCCACAGTGTCCTCCTTGCCACAGTCGCAACCTCTCCCTCCTTCGTTATCTCATTTCAGCAGCTTATTAGAGACTCCCACCTGTGTGAGTTGTCTTGGCCCATCTGCGTTCCCTCCACCTCAGCCTGGGAAACTGGCTTATAGCCACAACATGGGCCACCAGGAAATTAATTACATGCAGCAAGCAGGGTCTGAGAAGTCAGGCCTGCTGTTGGTAATGCTCACCTTATAACCAGGAAAGACCTGAGTTCAGAACCAGAGTGCAGTCGCCTCGGCTACAGACAAGATTAGCAAGATTAGATTGAACACAAAGACAAATGATGTCTCATAGTAACATCACAGAGGGAAAAGACTTTCCGTGGGTACTAGGGATGTTAACGGTTAACCGTTAATCGGTTTTTGACTGGTTATGTATGTCGGCTAATTTGCATACTGACACACTGTGCTTGTGTTGCAGTAATAGCCTAACCTACTTCATTTAAACTTAAAATCAGCTCATTGTTCATAAGAAATTGGACAATTCTTTGTCTCTTCTCTCAAACACACACCCTGGAAAATAATCCCCTTCACTGGTGGAAAGAGCACGAGAGAAGATTCCTGAGGCTTGCCATCCTAGCAAAGAGCTTTCTGGCCATCCCCGGGACATCAGTGCCCTCAGAGTGGGTGTTCTCCGCTGCTGGCCTTGCAGTCAACAGACTACGAACCAGGCTCACCCCAGAGCATGTGGATATGTTGATCTTCCTCAACAAAAATCGTTAATTTGATCGATATGTTTTATTGTTAATTTAAAGGCATTTAAGCCCGTTAAATGTTCATATTAATATTCAAAACTGTTTTGTCAAATGCTGCAAAGTGCCATGAATTCCCAAATCGAAATGCTAAATGTAAGTGTTTTGTTATTAAGTAATGTTTTATATATATTGCTGAATTGTCAAATCGATTGTGCACTGTTGTGTGTGTATGTCCATTAAAGTGCTTGTTTTTGCCACTGACAGGATCAGATTGTAATTATATGTGTCCCTTCCGAGAAATTAGACATTGTTCTTTACTTTTGCTTGATCTGGTCTGTTTGTTATTGTGTGGAACCAAATTTCACTCAAGGAGGAGTCTTGTTCTGAAATTTCATAGACATTTCCATGTTGTCAAAATAAGCTAAAATTCAGCTGTGACACTGAAAATCTTTTAGATAACACTAAGCAACACTTTTCACACAACAAACTCTTGTCCTCTCTCCAACTCTTACTAACATATCCACCGTGTTTTTCCTGCAACAAGTCACCTCTCGGGAGATCTCAGAACAAGACTTCTCCTGGAAAAAAAGACTTGGCTGCGGACCAACAGACAAGTGAGAGGTAGGGAAAAATGTTCCTCTCTAGTTTTTTTCAGAGCCTGTCAGTAGCAAAAACAAGCATTTTTATTTGATTCAATTAATGGTGCCCTATTGCCTGCATGGATTACATTGCAGCCTGTTTCACGAAGGCAAAATCTCTCTCTTAATCCATCGCTGAATGAGCTGCCAAGTTCATATTGTACTGCAAGAGTAATATTAGTCAAGTCAGTCAACTGAGGTCCAGCAGCCATTGTCTGGCAGACACTGACAATGCTTTCCAAGCAGAGGAAGAGCAAGGCACAGGAGAGCAACCTGAATCCAGCCCATCACAATCCGCAGCAGAATAGAAGGGGCGAAGGCCACTGATCAAGTGGCCAAAATCGCGCAAAAAGGCGCTGTGGAAGGAGGTCAACACTGACCATCGCAATATCTTGAGGATGCTAAGAGGCACAGCCATGAGGAAGCTGGAGAAGGGGGGGGAACTAATCTACAACTTGGTGTGTGGTGTGAGGCCCTTTGAGTGGTCGGGTGAAGTTGATTATGCTACTGAGCCTCGGCAGCATGCCCAACAACTAGGTCCTATAAAACAGGCCACATTTAAATTATGTTAGCAATCAAGACTACATCTTCCCTTTAGCAAAGCAAACATGACAACATTAACTGGAAATAATACAATGAACCTGCTTCCAACTATCATTCCTGTCCTCCTAAAAGAAACTGAAAGTCAAGAGGTGGCACCATATTGTCTCCACTAAATACAGCAGTAAAAAATGCATCATCATCAATACAACCTCTCCCTGACCCTCCACTCCTCTTGTTTATTTTTTCTCTTGGCCAGCATCTTTCTCTTCACACCTTCTCCAAGTTCTGTTGGTTTGCCTTCTGTGATTTGACTCATAAGGGCATGCTGGGATGTGATGAAGGGTTGGAGTAAGGAGAGGAGAGAGAGCAGAACGTAGGTATTTGTTCTCCCAGACAGAGCGCCTGTGTCCTGGGATGAGCAGATGGTGGATCTGGCTGGCACTTGGGTGGCACAGGCACATCCGCAGGAAGGCACGAACACCACAGCACTCCCCTCTCTCTGCGCTCTCCCCTTCCCTGAATCCCTCCTTCTCACTCTCTCCGAATCACTCGGCACATCCACTGTGCCGCGTTAATCAGCACAACTTGTCCTCACCTCTCAGCATGCAGGGGAGGCAACAATATGGGTCTAGTGTGTGGCCGGGTTCAAGGGGTGTGGATGAAGTGCACAATCAAGGAAACAAGCATTTCATTTTGCCGCTGTGAACGTCTGACCTTATGTAAATAAGTGGTGCCGAGTTAATCAGAATGCCTCACAAAATCGCAGACTTAAAGGGCTGAGTGTTTTTGTCACAGCGACTCGCAGCCAACACAACAGCTTAATTATGTTCAGCTGAGAAACAAATTACAAGCTTTTCAAACTAATCTGTGGACATGCAAGTGTGTGTGTGTTTGTGCAAGTCTTCTCTGTGCTCATCTATGCTGATCTTACCAGAGCGCCAGGCTTTTCTCTCATGCACACTGAGTGGAGATTATAATAACAATAACAGCATAATGAGACATCTAGATTATGACACTGTGAGTGCCAGTCTGTCTGCACCCCGAGGGATTTTCAATCATTACAATCATTAGGTTTTTTTCCTGTAAGGCATGACTGTCTGAGTTGCGTCCCAGGGAATTCTTTGCTAACCAGCTCTCACATCTTGGTGCATAAAACCAACTACAGCAAATCTTTTACAGATACATGGACAGATTTCTGAGACCAAAGTAATGGATCACACTGGTTGGGATATAAATTAAATAAATGAATAAATAAGCCTACTAAATGTCCTTAAAAATGATTCTACTGCACTGTACTGTGGTGGAATTTATTAAGTATGTACACTTAATCACTGTACTCAAGTGCAAATTAGAGGTACTTGTATTTTACTTAAGTATTTCCATTTTATGCAACTTTATATTTGCTTCACGTTGCTTCACCATGTTGGCATGTGACATCCACGTGCCAACATGGCGAAGAGCTGCTGGATGACTGGTTGTGCAACTAACATGAGTAGACAAAACCAAGTCTCCAGTGTTATATTGTACCAGTTAAGGTAATACCAAGGAAGAGAGGCTTGCGGCCACGAAGAGGGCTCATGTTACTACAGACAGGGATATATTTTCATTATCCTATTCAGCCATGAGCGTGTTCATGTGGAAGAGACAGTGGTGTTAATTAAGAGTCACCATCAGAGCCATGAATGAAGTAGGCTGCTTCGTATGATATGAGATGAAACGGTAACGTTAATTACCTGCGGGAATGTTTGGTCTATGGGACAGTAAAAAATCATCCATGTGAAATGTAAACCATAACTTGCAATCTTTTAACATAAGATATAAAAACACTGGAAGTAATTTGCAAATATTAGAAGTAGGCTAAGACTTGTACATACATGTAGGTATTATAACATATGAAATTAGTACAGAGTCAGTATTTTTTTGCTATTTAGTTGACATGTCACATAAAATATATTAAAGTAATGCAAGTCTTTTTCTACTACCGCATAAAGGGTGGAATAGTAGCCTTGGTAATGATTGATGAGGTCTATCTGACTGAAATGTTGCATTTATAATAATGGGAGCCAATTAACAGTGTGTGGATTAGTTGTTTTTGTTTTACTAAAGAATGATCTTCATTTCCTTGCTCTCATCGCACAGGTGTCTCGTGTTATTTTGAGCTGCATTGATGGAATCAGAGTGTAAAAAAAAGTAAGACTGTCTGATATCACTGCAGACTAAAAAATACTTTGCATATGTTAAAATGCAGCTAAAATCATGTGTTTAGTGTTGTAAATGTTCTCTCTGTTGTTAAAAGCTCTGTTAAAAAAAACAATGAGCTGCTGATGCTAAAACTTAACTGCTTTTACTAGAGAACGGTTTTAAATGCATTACTTTTACTTGTAGTGGAGTATTTACACATTGTTGTATTTGTATTTCTGCTGAAGTGACTGATCTGAATACTTAGTCTGCTATTGACTGGCCCAAAACACACCTTTCTGTCAGTGCCACTGGTAATGAGCTGGTACTCCTCTGGGTGGTAGCACACAATCCGGAACAGTGTGTTGGCAATTACCATTTGAAGACTCACAAATCGCCTGCAGCAAAAAAATTCAGGAGGTGGTGCAGAAGATGAAAAAAAGAGAGGAGAAAGAAGGTTAACTTTCACCAGCAGAGCAGCGGCCTAGAAAACCCACATGTGGTGAAAGGGCTCCAGTTTCATTAAGTGCAAAGTACAATTTAATGTGATAAAACATGTTTCACTTTCCAGGAAAACAAACCAATTTGTGTAGTCACACATTAAAAAAAACTGTTAAATGTACTGTACACTCATGCAAATAACACACACACACACACACACACACACACACACACACACACACAAACCTGTATAACTTCTTCTGTGTACACAGAAATGGTGGTGTGTCTGGCTCGACAGGATGCCATTCAAGATTCATTAAGGCTCCTGTCTGCCTAATATTCTTTACAACATCACCTTCATCACCTAGTAATCACTGAAAAAAGTAAATCTATGCTACACTTGATGCATACAGCCTGGAATCTTTTAATCCACCGACTTGTTCATTGAAGAGGATAGACAGTGAAAAAACATGACCACCATCAGAGTTTTTAAAGGTTTTATTCTCCTACTGCGGGAGCCCCGCAGATTAAGGGATTTTAAGCTTCTTCATAAAGAATGCACTGGATTTCTTTTTATTTCTACTTTACCAGTCAGACACAGCTGAACAGCATTTCTCTCATTACAACACAGACCTGAAAGCAGTGCTGTCTATTATCTGTCCGTTTCTCTTTGGTGGTTATGTATATCATTAGCAATTATGTATCGTATGCTTTTTTACTGGATAATGTGATTAACTGAACCAGTAACAGGCCTTTCCACTTGGTTTTTTTGACTCAACTGCTCTCAGCAAAATAGACCGAGTTAAGTTTGAGGAAAAATCCAAGAGTCATTCACTTAGAGATTGTGGGGTACAGTTTGTACAGTTTTGACTCACTGGAGGTCCTAAAAAGAGTATTTTATGCACTAACTATACAAGAACAAAGTTTTAAAAAAGAACAGATACTATATACGTGAGATTTGTGTGTTATTTCTCTTGCCTTTTGCTTGGACACAAGTATTTGGGTATGCAGATGGGCTACTCACACTATGTCCCAGATGATGCAGGCACCATCGGAGCTGGCAGTGACACACTCTTTATCGTTGCTCTTGATTTTGATACAAGTGATGGTGGCTTTGTGCTCTTTCATGGTCTCCATCAGACGATGGCTGTGTGGCTGCAGCTCCCAAACACGCACCTACAACGGATGAACACAGGAGATCCCTTTTACATCCAATATGTGAGTGAAAGTAGTATTTCACTGCAGGAATGATGGTCTTTTTATAAAACTGGGCTGTCTATGCAGCAGAAAAACACAATTAATTTTGAAATTGGTGCTACATGACCAGAGAAAACAGAGAAAAGGGGCTGTGGCATTTGCATTTGCTTAAAAGGTAGAAAACCTACAACTACCAGAATGCACTGCGCCGCATTGGACCAATAATAACAGAATCTTGGATTAGATTTGATCAGCAATGCTTACTTTTACCGCTTGATCTCAGTATTTTAAGCCACCATATTTACAATAAAGGAAACGATATGATGCCCACTTCCTCTTCATGAATTCTCATATTACAGCCAAGTCGTGCACTAAAACATGTTTATGAAGACATTTCAGATGTAAATAGGCAAAACAATAACAAGATATTATATAAACAACCCCTGTAGGAGTTTGTTTTGAGGTTGAGAGAAAGAGAGAGGGTGGCAGTGCTCTCTTTCAATCCGCTTCTATACTCTTTTTGTCCGTGGTGGCGGGCACACAATAATGTGGAAGTACAATCTGTAGTTCGAGCAACAGCCCCAGCTGATTGGAGCTGGCAGATGAGCACGGAGTTCTGGGCACTGATAGATGGAGAGAAGTTTACTATAGTTCATTTACATATACTACCCACATTGTTATGATACAAAGCTGGTTGAAAATCAGCAAAGTGTCCCTTTCATGAAAATACTCTCTTGCCTTTGTTTCAGTGGTTTGTGATGCAAATGGATGGATACAAAGATCAGTACTTTGAACAAACTGCAATCATACTTCACATAAAATGTATCTGCAGGGTGTGTACAGTAAAGGGTTGCATCTGAAACATGGATGTATCATGTGTTAAATCATTTGACTAATTGCATAAAGCCTCTTAACTTAAAATCAACTTAATAATTCACAGCTTCACATTTTCTGCAGAAAGAAATACCAATTAAAAATGTTAAGACTCTACCTAAGATGTACAAATTTTCATCCTTAAATCAATTTCATCAGATTGAGTAAGAATTCCACAACAAATAACATAAATGCACAAACAGCTCCTTTAGAGAAGCCTCAACAAAACTGTGGCAGGAACATGTCTGCCACACTGTAGACTGGGTAACATGGTTAGCATAATCATTCCATTTATAAGCATATGGCTTCCTAATTATAAAATATGTGTCCAGAAAATGGCGAGTTGTGCTACCAACTGTTGTTTATTTAATAAACATGGCTTCTGCTAGCAGACAATTGCTGACATCTTGGAGGAATTAGTGGGCACTGCACTTCTACTGGGTGAGAAAAATACAGAACATTACATTCTGTTTTCAAACAATTATTTACTATGTTTGAGGTTTATGTCCACTGACCTGCCCTTCTCCCCCTCCACTGACGATCCTCTTGCAGTCCCTGGTGCCAGCTATGGCTGTCACACCCATTCTGTGCGCGTTGTGAATGATGACCATGAGGCGGCCACTTTCCGGTGCAAACACACGAATCCTACCATCATTCCATGCTAGAGGAGAGTGAAATCTATTTTTAACAGTCAGCAATCAAGAACATTCAGTGATTCAGTCTGTGAAGTAGGTAATTTAGGAAAAAAAGTGTTGCATGTTTTGGGGGACAAATCATGACTGAACTACAGCTCATAAAAAGAATACAAAAGTGAATATTCTTTGTAGTAATGAGCTCCAGTGCCGTGTTTGCAGATATCTCTCCCTGATTCCCACCACTGATGATGCTATGTCCGTCAACCATGAAGTCCAGGGAATTGCAGGTCATGTTGGGTACAGTGATGCGCAGCAGCTCTTTGGGCTTGTCTATGTGCCACAACCTGATGTCCTCCTCAGAGCAGGTTGCAAATAATTCAGATGTTCCACTAGAAGAGGAAAAAAAGAGAGATGTGGAACTACAGTTCAGTGAATGTGGGTACGACCATCTGTTGTAAAATGGTGCTAATTGAGTTCAAGCTAAATTAATAGTACATTTAACCAAGTATCCATTTAATTAATGACAATCACCCAGGTGTTGCTACAATATCCCTAAATTCAATACTATTTTTTCTACACTTAAACAGACATTGATGAGGCAAGTAAATGTCACCCTCTAGTGAGCATAATGGGGTACTGAAGTCATGGATTATGAGCGGTAAGTAAGGTTTAAGATGAAAAAAGAAAAAATACATACACACTAGAGGTATAGGAAACATCACTTGTGCTTGTTGCACTGTGATGACACACTTTTTCTTAAGTATTTGTCTGACTTTTGGTGCAAGAGGAAATCTGTGACAAATGCAACAGAATGAAAATGCTGAATCAGACAACACATGCTCATATGACCTCAAACAGTCCTCTACAGATCTGAACAGACGGCTGGCCCAACAGTGCTTGTGGTATGTGAATGAACTGAATATTCATCTCCAAAATGTACTCATAAACATGACTGATTTTAAACAGTGCATCATAAATACTTCTATCTTGCCATGCTCCAGGGCAGATGGACTCTTTTACAGCACGATGGAGTTTTGTTCCTATGAATTTCAATTAATTTAGGATATAGTATATTTCTTGCCAAATTCAAAAGTCATAAAAGGCCTTTTGCCATTTTACTCTCGCTGGTGGGACTTTGACTTTTTGTCCCTGAATTGTCTGTTTGCCACTTACAAACATATGGCTACGTCCTTGACAGCACTGCTGTGGCTGGTGGAAATGAGCTCAGCTTTGAAGTCCTCATAACTGAAGCGGTACATCTGAGCAGCCTCTGTCCCGACAAAGAACTGCTGGCCCTCTCCTCTTATTGCAATGGAGGTCACCCCCTTTTCCAGCTGGACCTCCCTAATGTGGTGGAAGAGGAAAAAAAGACCTGTTAATGAGCACTGTAAAATGAACACATTAATCTATACACATTAAGGTACCCTAGATATTTATTCTAATGTACAAGATATATATAGAGAGAGAAAGCTGTGAACTATTAACTATTATTAACTATTAATCATTACCACATGTAATTACTTTAATCAGGATGAATCAAATGACAGTTGTTGGACTTACTTAAGAGTTTTGAAGTTAGTGCAGGAACACAGAGTGAAGGTGCCAGATCCAGAACCTACAAGCAGGTTTCCAGACTTCAGTATTCTAAGGACATTGACACCCTGCACAGAAAAGGCCTGAATTAGTTCCAGAAAGCAAAAGCTAAAAGCTCCCACAGTTTATAAATAAAAGACTCTGGATGCTTGTAGTAAATGAACATATGCACAAACAAGACTAATTTCAGGAATGACAAGGAAGTACATAATGATCCATTAAGGATATATAAGAAATTACTGTCGCAGATAAAATGAAATAAATGACATGACATGAGCCCTTGCATCTATTTCCAAAGTGGCACTCAATCAGCTCTTGATATGCGGCAAGAGTTCCAACTATTAGGCAGGACGCAAGTGAAAGACAGCTGAAATTACCATCACAGAGACGAGTGAGGAATGTAATGATTTCTGTTGTGCTGAGTGACCTACCAGGCTGTATTTTGTTTTTACTGGACCACAGTCACTCAGAAGCCCAGTCTTCATGTTGACTTTCATTATGTCTCCACTGGTGGTGCCACAGAAAATGAATCGATCGTCCTCTGTGATCTGTGTAATAATATAAACAAGTCAACATGAGCAACACTATCCATCTCTAGGGGGTTAGAAGGTAGAGAAGGTTGTCCACTAATTGGAAGATTGGCGGTCAGATCCTTGGCTCCTGCAGTCCACGTCGAAATATCCTTGGGCAAGATATTGAACCCCAAATTGCTCCCGATAGCTGTTCCATCGGTGTTTGAGTGCATATGAATGTATACTGAGTAGCAGGTGGCATCTTGTATGGTAGCTTCAGTCACCAGTGTGTGAATGTGTGTGTGAATGGGTGAGCGTGACATGTAGTGTAAAAGTGCAGTTTATTTACTAAAGTATCTGGTGCACTATAACTATTTGGACAATTGAAAATAAGTTGAGTGAACAAACTGTTGTGAATGAAAGACTCTCATGGCCTTGTACCTCTACACATTTCACAATCCTCTTCAGCTTCCCTGTCTGGCACTCTGTGGGCCTGATCTTCCTGTTAGTGAGGTCCAGCTCCCAGACTCGCAGTGTTCCGCTGCCCAAAAAGACCAATATGACATTAAAAATACTCTAATAGTATAACAAGAATGTTACTATTTGCTCTAGACTGACACTTGATCTACAGAACGCCAGAAGACAGCACACACTCACCTCCCAGCAGAGACAAAGATGTTGTCATTTGTGTTGGAGTACTGCACTGTGAGGCAGTAACCGGCACTATGTGCTAACGCTGGGCTCCCACAGATGGCCTGCTTTGTCTCAATATTCCATACCACAATGCTGAAAACACACAAAAATATACCACGCACCAGATACAGAGTATGTACAGTTGAGTAAATTTACATACAGTCCTACATTCGTCATCCCTGTGTGACACAATCTGGTTATTCAGGAGTGCATTGCGCCACCCAAAGTTGATGTTTACCTGTCATCATCCTGACCTCCCAGGGACACCAGATACTTGTCGTTGGGAGAGAAGGCCAGTGCCTTTACTTGTGCCATGTGGACCACCAGCTCGGCATAAACTGTTCGCTGTGCATAGTCCCAGATGATCACCATAGCCTAAGAATATATATATTCAAAATGTTACATGTGAAAATTACTTTTGTTGCCATTCCGTGCTGTAAATGGATTCAAAGCCATATATTTCATCAGTAGGGGAAACAAATGAAAGAAGCAAGTGCTGAATTATATCAGAAACTTTGGATAAATTAAATAAAATGTACTCCAGCTATGAATACCTTAAAGCCCCTGAAGTTGATCTGTCCAGAGGCAACATATAATCCACTTTTGGACACAGAAATACAGGACACATTGTTTGTGTGTCCATGCAGGAACTCCTGTTTGCCATCTTTGATTCTCTTAAGAATGACTGTACATCCCAGAGGATAGATGAGGTGCTCTCTGTCTGGATGGACTCTCAGGCCAGAGGGCACGCACCCTGATGAGACAAAAATACACAGCATAACATAAAACAACGCTTAACATCTTTTTGTATGGAAAATGACAAATATGTGATCATAATAAGTGGCCTCTTGTTTTAAAAGGTAGACAAGCAGACACCAATGAGACTGTGCAATGTTTCCCTCTTTCACAGGTGACGTCACTCCAACCAAGTACACCGTACGTTGGGCTCTTGCTATATCTTAATATAGTTAGCAAAGCAAACTGTCCTGCCACCTCCCTTAATCATTTTAAAAACGTAGCTTTGACATTTAAAATGTCACAGAAACTAATACAAAACCTACTCACATTGCACGTGATGAATTAAAAGAAAAATGCTGTTGCCTCACGTGCGCAAATTAACTTGCTAGCTACTTGTATTGAAGATTGATTTGTATTAACGCTTAGCTTAGCTAAGTTAGGTTACAACCGTAAAGGAAAACTTACCGTTGAAGCCGATAACAGCCTCCAATTCAAGTTTAGGCACGCCCTGTGTTTCAAGAGCCATTGCTGAAAAACTGTCTATTAACTCCTTCTCTCGTAAAGTGTTAGGAAAGTCAAATTTTGCAATAAAAACTTACGCTACCGTTGTTTTTCTCAAACACTCCTGACAGCTCTTTAACTAGCTACCGTTACACCAAACACACGTTACCTAGCAACGCTCCCTGCTGCCTTCAAGTGCTGCAGGAGATTTTGTACACGTACAAATTTAAGAATAAGTAGGTACACCACTGGAAAATGTAAATATTTGTCTTGAAAAACAAATAACAACCACATGCCCGAGACACATTTCTATTGTGTATTTCCCATAGGTAGAGACTGATCTACTTTTAATCTGTGACCTGACATTACATTAAATATCTGACAGGCAACTGTGGTTTCCACAAGTGGGCAACTTGAGGCAGAACTGTTTGGTACAGTTTATTCGTGACTGTAGTTTTAATAAAACAGCTTTTCAGAGAGACTTCAAGGTTCAGTTCACATGTTTATCAGCACAACTAATAATACATTTGAGCACATTATTTGAATATGTATTTTGAATTGTATGGAGGCTATTCCACTGTTACTATGCAGTGAACTACAGCACAACATAATGTATCCGTTTATTAAGCAACCATACCATAGTATCACAAGGAAAATCAATGGATTACATCATCACACAATGTATATGTGATACATAATAGTATAAAATCAAAATGAAATTTTAAAAAATCAGTGAAGGACAAGTTTTTATATTCATTTTAATTGTATGCAGCTCACACCAGAGGTAAAATGCTGCTGCTCTACTGGTTAAACCACTCAGCATGTGAGATTAAAAGCTCTTGCACTGCCATCAGTGATCTTGCAGCAGTTGTTTCCCATCAGTTAGAGGTAAGATACCTGCACAGAGAGTAGTGTAACAGCACTTTTCTGCTCTGATCCAGCATAGCATTAACCATTCTGTGAAGGTTTATTCATAAAAATGAGATAAATTATAATAGTTTCATATAAGAGTACAAAAATTGTCTATTTTATCATTTAACTGCTCATAATGGGCAACTAGCTAACAGAATTCAAAAAAAGGAAATCACTCGGCAGCTGGTATGGACTGAACAATGCACAAATCTTGTGCTCCCTAATGTTTGTGTGCCTTCTGTGAGGTAGCAAATTACATCAGATTAAGTTAATTCCGACTGGAAAGCATGTATTTACTGAGATCAGTCAAGACTTCAGTCTGATACCTCCGTTAAAGGGTAGGGTTCGGTATTTTCAAACGGGACCCTGTTTTTCCATATTTTTGTGTCAAAGTAACTAATGGGAACAGTTTTTGAAATTGGTCTAGTATTGAGTGAGACAACTGCAGACGGCAGCGGCAAAACAGGCTACAATAGGACCACTCAGGGCATTTGGCACCTTCAATTTATGTCCATTAGAAGTGCTTATTTTTTGCCACTGACAGGCTCAGATTGTTATTTTAAGTGTCTGACAATTTATGTTAAGTATTCATACAAAGACAGACTTTAAGATCCTTTTTATTTTACCAAAAACAGCCCCAAAACCACTATGGCCAAATCCACCAGACTCCATTTAAATAAACAGTCATTTTATTTCAATGAAACACACTTCATTCAAAGTCAACAGAAACAAAATAAAGCTCACAAAACCCGTCTTGTTTTGTCTTTCAACTGTTCTAACAATCACCAACTCTGGTTTGGTCGAAATAAACCCTTAATTCACCCAGTTAGATGTATGACATATGCTGGCTGTGTACAAGCTAAAATTACTGTAGAATTAAATGGAGCCTGGTGGAATTGATGATGGGTTGTTTCTGGTTAAACAAAAATGGTTTTACTCTTTAACAAAAGGGTCTTTCTCTGTAGGTATCCTTTCCTTAAGTTGTCAGACACTTATAATAACTGTCTGAGTGTGTCAGTGGTAGAAACAAGCATTTTACATGGATTTAAATTGGTGCACGTGCCTCGTGTGGTTACAATGTTACCTGTTTTGCTGCTACCAGCTGCAGAAATCTCTCTCAATATAGGACCGATTTAGTCACATACAGTTACCATTTTATCATACAGTTGCAGAGACTTGGTTAATATCCTTTATTCAGTATCAGTCTGGCTGCATGTCATATAAGAGTTTCAGGCGTTCTGGCAGGGCAACTCTACTTTGGTTGTGACTGATAGTTTGGTTAATAACAAACAGGATTTGTTCCAAGATATGAGATATTCTTATGCACTTTCTAAAGGCATGTCCAAGTCTGTCATAAAGGAAGAGAGCTTCACTACATACAGCAGTGTACTTAAAAAGTCACATGATCTGTCTTTACCCTATCAACAAAATATAAATTGTAACCACCAAGACAGTTTGATAAGCTTGGATCAATAAAAAATATTGGGATAATAAACAGCTAATCTGAAGCCCTGTACTAAGAATGCCTAAGAGATATTTTGTGGACAAATTAAAAAAGTAAACAGCAAGGTGAATCATCACAAAGCATCAAAATTAGTTCTCAATACACTACAAATGACTACAAATTAGTAAATTCTAGCTTGACTGTGGCTCCAGGAAGATATCTTGATGGAACGTCCTTCTATTAGGATTTCACGTCTATTTTCAACTGCTAGGTTTCTCAGAGGGTCCTTCAAAACTCACTATGTCCTTGGATGTTTCCATAGACATCTGTCTGTGTGTGTGTGTCCTCCTGTGTCTGCTTAGAGAATGGCTCCACGAAAACCTGCGACCACAGGTGAGACACAGATAGGGTCTTTCCCCCGTGTGTGTCCGCTGATGTTTTGTCAGTGATTTGTACCGTGTGAAGGTTGCCCCGCACTCATTGCAAATATACTTCTCCGACTTAATATGAACATTTTGCTCGTGTTCTTTCATATTGCCCAGCTGTGAGAAGCCTTTACCACACACAGGGCAAAGATGTGGTTTCTCTCCTGAGTGGGTCAATCCGTGAATATTCAAATCCTGACGAGAATAAAATCCTTTTGCGCAGATGATGCATTTGTATGGTCTTTCCCCTGTGTGGCTCCTCATGTGTCTTTTCAGTCCTTCTGAGCGGGAGAAGCAGCTCTCACACAGGGTGCATCTGAAAGGTTTCTCTCCCGTGTGGGAGCGGAAATGCCGACGTAGCTCCGAGGCCTTGAAGAAGCACATCCCGCAGTCGGCGCAGCAGTGAGGTTTTTCTGGCTGCTCCTCATGCGTCTTTTCATGTGCTTTGCAGTGACCTGCCTCGGAGAATCCTTTTCCGCAGACCGAGCAGGTGAAAGGTTTCTCCCCAGTGTGCATTCGCTTGTGACGGACAAGTTTATTAAGTTTACTGAACGTCTTCATGCAGTACGAACACTGATGAGGAACCTTTGGTTTCTTTGAGTGGGTGCGCTTGTGTCTCTCTAACTTTGAAGGCCTGTTAAACACTTTCCCACAGTCAGGACATGGGTGCTTGTTAGTCCTGTTGTGGCAATTCTGATGTCGGATCAGCTTCTCCTGTTGTGTGAAGCTCTTATCACAATGCTGACACTGATGAACAACCTTAGGCTTCCTCGTGTGGACAGGTTTATGCCTCTCTAGCTTTGACGGTCTGTCAAATGCCTTGCCACAAACGGAGCAGGAGTAGCACTTGTCTGAAATGCTGCTCTCCGGTTGTTTGGAGTTCTCAGGCTCAGTGGAGGTTGAAGCATCGTTGGAATCTGATTCTGAGATTACCTTCACGACAACTTCGGCTGGACCTGAGGGAATGATAACATCAAAGAATGTCCTTTGAATACTTCATTAAACAAAAAAATCTCAATGGGATACAATGATTACCATTTAACAGTGACTAATATAACGTAATGATTCAAATAAACTGAGATATGGGGATTTCTGTGATGGGTTTTAGAAGCGAAGAATTCAACTAGCGAGTCCAGTGAGACAAACCTGTAATCCATGTTTTGGGTTGCAAAATTGTTTTACTTTACTGAATGGACATTAAATCTGCTGCAATATAACACTTTCTTCATCTTTCAATCTAGTGCTGAGCATCAGTCAATCATGAGATGACTAATTTGTTATTGAATGTTGACCAAAAAAAAAAAAATATGAAAATACAAAAAAGCATCAGTACTTACTTTCCTCTGAGGATTCTGTTTTTGGGACAGATGCAGTGTCTGGGCCCATGACTGCAGCCTACTTACATACAACAAATAAACAGACACAAAAAGAGGAAATGGAAAATTACATCAGTAATGGAGAACAGTGATTCAGTGTTGGCCTTTCCAGATCTGTACAGTATAGCCTGACTGACCCTGGATTTTTGAGGATGAGACTGATTTGAGTTTTTTTTTTTTTAAATCTGCTGGTGATATAGTGGCAAATAGCCATTCTTTTCCCACCATAAACAAGTAAAAATAAGAAAACTATTGTGGCACTGATCCCTTAGGTTTTTTTTTATTTTGACCAAGATACTTACTGAGCAAGACATTTTACTATTAAAGAAAATCTACCTGTCAGTGCTCTCTGGAGGACAAACTACTGTATCGGAGAGTGATACTTTCTTAATGACCAAAAACCTATTTTTGCATTTCTGTTCTGCAATGTCTTGTGACTTATTAACATATACAACGATATAATATATTTGCAGTGAGCTAATATCAGCCAATATATCAACCTGATTGATTTATCAGTCCGGCTCTGATGTAAAACAAATTGAAAGGCAACAAAAATTACAAATTGAAATTTGCACAGTGGATTACATTTATTTCATCAAAGTAAAATCCTTTTTGATCACTTTAGTAGCCAAGCAAAATGATGGTGTAATGATGTGTAAAACACATGACAATATGATGAAAGCAAGAGAAGTAAGATGTTTAAGAGTATTTTGATAAGGTCTGGTTGTTACACTACAGCTTGTTTTGCGTGGATAGGATCAGAAATTTGGGTCAAGTAGTGAGTTTCATTATGCACATGTAGCCTCATTATTAGACCATATTCTTACTGCAGGCTGACAACCAGAAATGTGGTGTGTGTTGGATAATGAGGACACCACAGTGGAGCATATGAAGCAGAACAATCCAGCTTTTCTCAGCCAGTCCTGGCTGGAAGATTTCTGTTTCACATATTTTTTGTTGACAAATAATTCAACCAGGTATGAACAGATGAAGATGTATTCATCTGATTACTGGGTGGCCTTCCATATACCGAGCATCTCTGAAGCAGGGTGATGACAAAGGCCCATTGTTGAGCATCTTTCCAGCAACAGTGCCTTCTGAAATAGATGCTTTTTATATGCTTCACCAAACAGCTATTTAGCTCGGCTATTTATAATGCTGACTTCTGAGGAATCAAGCTATACCTCTGCGACGTGTTACTTATTTCAGTAGAGGTTGAAGGAAACGAGAGACCAAACAGTGCAATACGATGATAAATATAAGAGGCGATACTTGAGCTAGCTTTACAGAATATAAAGTTAGCCAGTGCTGATACATAAAATCCCGTTATGTTCTTCGTGTATGCAACAACTGTAATTTTAAACAGGCAGGGCAACTACGCTGGAATGTTTTTGTATTGAGTTTAGCATGACCCAGTGTCGTGACATAGAAACCTCGACCGTCGTATGTTCAACGTGAGCTAATTTATTGCCTGAGAGGCTTTAATAATGAGGGTAGATGACAGTTATCTGGGCCACACATGCACACTAACAGAACTAGGTAACGTTAGCTCACTTTGTTAAAACTAACGTTGCTGTCGCGTTAGCTAGCATAACAAAGGCGTATAACTTAACATTCAGCAGGGCATATAAGATTGAGTCCCACCTCTTTAATACTCCATAAAACCGTAGGCTGTCACATATTGTATCCGCAACGTTTTAAATTCAACCTACTTCACATTTAAGGGTAGATAGTGCTGCAGGCTGCAGCTTGCTAAACAAGCTGTTAGGTTAGCATAGTGGAGTTGAAGCCAAAAATGTCCAGCCATCCCCTTGTATGATACCTTCAAATGCCCCACGTAAATTCGGGAATGACGGATTAGCCCATTATTTTATATCACTGGTAATGCCTAACGTAGGCTAGCTTCTCTGTGCCGATGTATCAGAACGACAGCACACATTGTATACAGCGTATTTTTTATTTGAAAGAAAAAATGTGTGGACCTAAGTTACAATAGATGCATCCAAATCCTACACTGATTTACAACTGAATCCAGACCAACTGATATTTTCGTAGTTCCAATATTACTATTACGCACTATTGTCTGTTATCACATGAAAGAAAGAAACAAAACAAGCAACAGCAAACAATCAAACAAATAAAAAAACAAGGGTTGTCCCATTTACCACATACAGTGCAATAGTTCCAACAGCACGTGAACGCCGCAAAGGTAATAGATCCTCCTGAGACTTTGGTATAAATGTTTAATTTCTCCTAGCTATTTCGGATCAGTAGAAGTGTAAAAAAAAAATTTTTCTAATAATAATTAGGTCCCAATATCCTCAAATGAGACATCAATAAAGTCCCAGTGTCCTCAAACAAGATGAAAACAAAGTCCCAATGTCTTCAATTAAGTATTTCCTAATTAGCAGTGTCTTAGATTGTTCCTATTGCTAAAATTGGTCAAATTTATTTGTCATATCAAACTACAAACACTTTCAATCATAAATAAATACGTTTCAACCATAAAATGTGATCAGGTTTTGGACCTTGTCGGCTACAGACTGAGGTTGTAGAGATGGCTGCCATCCTGTTTTTACCTGGATTAGTGTATTGTGCTCTTACTACCACGAGATGGCACAAAAAGGTGTCGACAAAGGAGGACAACAGGTCCAAGTTAAGCAGAATGACCTTATTTGAGGACACAGGGTCTCAGGAGGATAAACCTGCATCATTTATTTTTGGTAGACCAGGACCTCTAGTGTATAATCAATGTTGGGGAATAGCTAGTTACATGTAACCTATTCAATCTAATTAAATTACAAAATAAATGTAATTATAAAAATATGTTGTTGAGATATGTTATTAAATTATAGCTACTAGTCAAAATGGCAGTGATTATAAAGGTATTTCATCCGAATATATTATTTTTGGTAACATTTATTCTGTTGCTTTGCACCTTTTCGCAATGCAGGAATACGGCCTTTTGGTATAGCCTATTTGTGGAAATTTTTCAGCTTTTTTAGAGAAGTAGTCAAAACATAATCAAATGTAGGTGAGTAACTTTACTTTGACAGAATAATTAAAATAGTTACAAAATGTATTACATTTTTAACAGGGTAACTTGTAATCTGTAATCTAGAGTAACCTTCCCAACCGTATTTATAATGTAAGGTCTAATTTGGTTAGTTTTCTAGTATGTGCAATGGCACCTATTGTACAAAATACAGGATAATAATCAGGTCATTTTCATGGCAAACAAGCAAACATGCCCACACACAAGCACAGGCCAACACACTTTATTAGTAATACACCTGTTAACAAAGTCAAGCTTTAAACTCAGGAAGTAAGAAAAGCGAAACAGTGTACAGAAAGTAAAAATATGTTTTCAGTATGAAGCTCATTTGCTTTTGCCATTACACAGTAAAAATTCTAATGTTCACAACAGGTCATATATCTGAATAAGTTATTAGACAGTGAGAAAAAAAAGATCAGCTGATCATAACATTAAAAAGTGCATGCAGTTTGTGTATCAAATGCAAATAAACTGCAAAATAATAAGAAAAAATACATAGAAGCAGGTATACATCTTGAAGGTACAATTTCCCAACAGATTGTCTACACAGCAAAAACCAGAATTATTCAGTTATTTACTTGTATATTAATGATGATGAATCATGGATTTATTACTGCATATTGTGTTGCACTACATGCTTGCTCTTGTAGCTGGTGTGTATCAACCTGTTGGGATTTCCCTTGTGTTTTTAGACAGCTTCACTAAAATAGGAACCATTCTTTATGTGGGCTTGTAAAGTCCAGTAAGACAAAGCGTGTGATATCATGCTACACAAATAAACTTGACTTGACATGTAGATAACAAGTCAAGTAAAATATCACTCAGTTGCTTCACAGTATGTGCATATATGTACATTTCACAAAATAAATTACATAATAATGTACATAAATATCAAGTCTAATGACACAGCATCATGACAAACTGGTCCAGTGTTTACCAAAAGATGCAAAGCTACAAGGCTGCTCTCCCGTTATTTTACTGAGAGGGAAAACTGTGAGAAAGGGAAATAGAGTTCTGGATGCCCCACACTTCGAGGGCCTGGATCTTGAAATGTCCCTTGCAGAGTGGGATGCTCTTGAATGTGTCACAAGGCTCTGAGTATCCCCTTTCTAGGTCTTCCTGTAGGCAGAGTGCGTGGCCTCCATCACCACCTAAGAGAGGACACATACATTAGCACTGCATACACACTGTTAACTCTTGACTTTGAGACATTTTTCTAAACACCTAACTGGCATACCGATTATGAGCTGACTGTCACTGCCTGCTATGAACATGGATGCTTCATGTTCCTTGGGTCTTTTCGGCTGTTTGGCAGTCATGGGTTCTGCTGACGGGGCAGTGAAGGGGATCGTCAGGTAGCTGGGGTCTTGGGGGGTTCCAGCAGGACAAGTCAGAGTTTTGGTGTCAGTGGTGGTGGTGATGGTGGTGGTGGTGGTGGTTGTGATTGGGGAGATGCCACCATTGGATACTGGAGATGAGACGCCATTGCTGTCTTGCACCCGCCGAGGGGAGGCTCTCTTGGTCATTATGTTGACCATAGCCTGCTGGTAGCGCTCCATGCTGGGACGAAGCTGAAAGAGTGCGAAAATTTCTCGTTTGACTTAAGATAATAAAGATCAAAATCTACTGACTTGATAAATGTTACAGCAAACGCATATAACGAATTCAAGTGGAAAGAAGTGGTAAAGTGTCTTACCGTAAAAACAAAACATTCCCCAGTTCCAAAGAATGTAAGTCCCTCAGAGTCATACTTTCTTCTTTCTATTACATCTGTGGACAGGAAGGCACCAAAGACCTGAGAAATGAGAAACACAAATATTCAATACCACATAAAGTGTATTCCACAAACAAACTGTAGTCATTATTGGTATTACAGTACGACAGGTTCAAATTGAAGGTTGAATAAATAGAAATAAAATGATTGTAGAATGGAATTTCCAATCCCAATCAACGTAGCAGGATGGTTTATGTGTATGATTGCCAGTGCAACCATTGTAGCAGGCTAACTAACCAACTTGCAGCAAGTCTTGAACTGAGGTTTATCAGCAACGACCAAACGAGCAGTGGGGTAGTACCATTACATTTTGAAACAAGCAATTCCCTGCTTTTAAAATATCACCAAAACTGCTATTCTTCTGTTTCTTTTATTGCCATTAATTTTATGTTTATTGAAACATGATGTATTTTTTTATTTTTTATTTATTTTTTTTTACCAGGGGCGATTCTAGGACCAGAGGTTTAGGGGTGCTGAGCACCCAGAGAGCTGCCCGGCCAGGCAAGATAAATTTCACTTTTTTGTACATTTTAACTCAATTTCATTCCCACATTTGTGAAAGAAAAGCTGCTGTATTTTTTTTTTTTTTTGCTAAAATATTACGTTGCAACCAAGTACTGTATGGTTTTGACGCTTTTCTAGCTTGTTAAAAAGGGACATATAGTAAAATAAATAAATAAATAAATAAATAAATAAAAATCTCTCAAATTTGCTGGTGAAGCTGGTGATTGTTGAAACAGTGCACCAACTACTAGACTAACAAGTTTAACTAAGATGGTTTGTGTGTTTTATGCTGAGTTAACAAGGCAATTAAGCTAACGCTAGTCTTAGTTTGGTGAAGAGAGAAACTTGATTGATGAACTTGATTGATCATATTTTTTCTGTTTACTAAGAAAAATAAGGGTAAGAATAGGCCACAAAATGGTGTTCATGGCCTCACTGATGTGTGTTGTCATCATAACAACTAACGACAATCGCCATTTTCTTTTGCACGTGTCTAATGGCCACAGCAAAATGTCCTTTCTACTCATTTTATTTCTATAGGTAAATAAATTAGAAAAGCACATGCAGCAAAATTATCCTGTGTATCCAAATATAATCTATGTTATCTGATGTTACCTCTTCATCCACAGTTTTGATAATCAAGACTGCTGGTTCGTGTCCCTCCACGTGTGAATAGAATCTATATGGGAGAGAAAAAAAAACAAGAGCATGAGTTGTTTTTAATATCCAATAAATTGCTATATATGCAACCAAGCAGTGTAACTGATGACTGAACCTGGCCTGTAAATGACTATACTACAAAGTCTGTCTGCACTGTATATCAATTAAAGACAGCATTTTGAATCATATTAAGAGGAGCTGGTCAAATGGACAAGATCACAACTTTAACAATTAACATAACTTTCCACAGCATCCTACTTTATGTTTTACAAGTGGCCACTTTTCCTGTGGAGCACTGCTTTTTTGAACCATGAGTTATACAATAGTTAGTTAGTTACAAAAGTTAGGACTTGCACTTGACTTTCACTGTCATAGCAAACATGTTGACAGTGAAAACACGCTGCCTCTCTCTGTTATGTAACGGGAGGCTTTTGATATATGAAAGAAACACTCCTAGTCATAATTCATGTCTGTGGAACATCATCTCATTAGTTCATTGTCTCACAGGTGGTTTCTCAGTGATGTTAAAGTATTAAACAAAGGTAACTCACGAAGCCAGGCCTCTTCCTTGTTCAGCTGTACTAAAAAGCCTAATGGGGCTGAAAAGTGCAAATCGCTCAGGTATCCAGGCCCAGACGACTCTCATCTCAGTCTCTGTCACGACACTGGAGGTGAAGTTGCTAAAGTCCACCGTCTCAACCGACTGCCTTTAGGAACATAAAAATAGCTATGGTGAGAATATGAAATTGAAAAAAGTTAAATGTAAGCAGTTTTTTTCCCAGCACTTTACTCATAGATCTCATGAAACA